TTTAAAAAAATTTAATAAAAAAAATTAATAAAAAAAAAAAAAAAAAAAAAAAAAAAAAAAAAAAAATATATATATATATATATATATATATATATATATATATATATATATATATATATATATGTACTGATATATAACCCTAACCATCATTATAGTTTTAAACAAAACTTCACCCAAGCATGATGTCTTGCAAACATATTCACACCTCTTTAATGTTTTCACATTTTGTCAGCAAAAACTATCAAATCTTTCAGATTCAGATGTTCTTGTCATTCAGCATAACATGCACTTGCTGAACAAAATTACGACACATGCTAGGTCACAAACAGAAACCGGCTGGATAAACTATAAAAGAATATAAAAAGAAGAATAAAATAGAATAGGAACAAAAATATTTTATTGGGAGTTAAAGTAACAGTTCAAAACAAAAAATAATTGAGAAGTGGAAGTAAAATGACGGGGGGCAGGGGGAAGGGATGAGAGCATGTTTGCATTTAACCTTCTTTTCCTCTGATGCCCCCAAATGAAATTCAGTGCAGCTACATGCCTATGGGAGGAACTTTGTTTACAATTCTGCACTATTTTGTGCTGCTCTATGCCAGAAATCCAAATGCAATATAATGAGGTTTGTAGTTGCAACGTGATAAAAATGTGAAAAGGTTTAACGGATCAAAATAGACCTGGAAGACAGAGCTGACTGGCATAATATGGCCTATGCAGAATTATGGCTTCATTGTGGTCAAATAACCAAAAGGCCTGAAACTCACCACTGGGCTTCTAAACCACTGGTGGATGCTCATAGAAACAAACCCTTCATGACATTAACCAAACCACAATAGTACGAGAAATGCAATCAGGGTGAGAAGATGGGGAAACATCTAAATGCTGTATAATGCAATGAATAATCAGCCTCCATCTGCATAGGCTGCTGTTAATTTCTGGAGTGATGTATTGCTTTTGAAAGCTAACAGCTATATGGAGAGTAAACCAACATCATCTCGCTGCTTCTGCTGCTGCTGCTGCTGCTGCAGGAATCTGAAGAGATCTGCACGGATGCAGGCTTGCATGAACTTGCCAGACACGAAGTAACCTCTGGAAGGCAGCTCACGGTACGTTCCTTCAGCATTGTTTTCTCTACCAGGTGGGGAATAGAGAAGATGTTTGGCTGTGGGAGGAACTTGCACAGACTCAGGATAGTTGCTGATGAGTCTTAAACAAATATTACCAATACCAAAGCACAATGACAGCCTCACGGAAAGCAGCCGGTTGCTATCATTATCACATCTTTGAGTGAAAGGATAGTGGTGAGAAGAGGAAAAGACGCACACAGAACTGCCTTTATGGACTGAAGCCGGACAAAGACGCACAAAGGGTCAAGGTGACCTCACCTGCCATAACATTACATCGGTCTATGCAGTAAAATGTGGATTGGGTGATACCCTTCAGAGACTTGACATGGTCCACTGGCACAGCGTGTTTCCTAAAAGGTTCTGTTTGTAAAACAAGAAGTTATATTTAATGTTGTTTTTTTTTAAAAAAAAAACATGCATGCAGACAAACTGCATGCAATGTGCTGCTTTTGTGGACAATTTCCACAGATTGTTTTAATGTTAATTTAAAAGAATTATATTAAACCGTACATTTTTGACAAAATGTCAACTGAATAAAAAGACGTAGAATTAATACTGGATCTGTTCCTCTACAGGCTCAGGTCTGTTGTATTATTGTGTACGGAAATGTGGGTTATTTATATTTGTTTAATAAAGAAACATGCCTCTATATCAACAAGTTATATTCAGTTTATTTACTGAGTACTTTGAAGGCAAATTACATCCCATTTATAGTTATCATGGCCAAATATTTGGCAGTGTTGCCGTAATCTGTGTCACAAAAGATAAATGCATGGATGAGTTTCACTAGATCCTTTTGGGACATTAGTCCTTTAATCCTACAAACGTTCTCCAGGTGATAGAAGACCGACTTTGTAACTGTCTTTATGTGCCTTTGAATGTTCAGGTTTGAACAATTGATACAAGCCAGGATGGATTCATGCTCTCATTATACATCACGATACTGACTCTACCATCTTCATGGAAGATGTTGCAGCTGATTTATAGAATCAGGCAACATTTTTCAAGTCTAAAAAAGAAAAGGCCGACCTGGTAGGTTATGAAGAAGGTCTGCGCGGCGGGACTTCCTTCTCAGAGAGGCTGCCATACCGTAATTAATGCCTAAGAAGGGTTAATTGTCCAGCCAGAAGGTGGCGGTAGTGGTAGCTGAATTGGTAAACCAGTTAAAAGACTTCGGAAGAAAACCCAGTGCAGCAGGAAGCACTGTGATTGGTAATCTTGAGAAGTTTCTACCGGCGTGCTGCGCGGCTCGCGTTTCTGCCCCCGAGTCCGCTCCTGGTAACCTTCCCGCTCCTCAGCAGCTTCGACCCGGGACAAAGCCTCGCCTGTTCTGCAGCTGTTTGCTCCTTTAGGGCAGCATGTCGGATTACGGCGGAGTCTCCTCTAACGGTGTTGGCGCTGGGGTGAAAAAAGACGCCTTTGCAGACGCCGTTCAACGAGCCAGACAGGTCAGTCTGAAACGGAAGAAGCTAGCTAGCTCCTAGCATAGCTGACGTTAGCGTCTCACTGCCATTCATTGATTTTCTGCCTTTAATTCTGTTTAATTCGTCGTTTTTTTAAAAAAAAATTAATGTAGACCATAGAATTAAAATGTAAACCTTTAATTTACACATACGAATATTTTAGTATCTGTTTTTATTTATGAATTTGCGTAAAAACAAGCTAAGTTAGCTAGGTTACCTAGTTAATGTTTAAGCTGTTCGTAGAGGTCTGCTAGCATCCCACATGAAACCTAATCTAAAATGTTACTTAACTATCGGCTGTTATATTTAAGCTCTATCTCGCAGTTTTGATACAGATCATTTGAAATAATTCGTGTAATGACCGAAAACGTCTTGTTTACATTTTATCAATCGATGAGAAGACACATGTTGAAAACGTGTCTGAGTACGAGAACCTAAAGCAGACTTGGAAAACGTTATTTCACAGTTGATTTGTCTGTTAATTATTATAAGTAAACACCCATCTAACCCAAGGTATTTCTTAACTTGGGTTAGAAAAGAAATATAATTTATTCGATCTTTCATTCATTTTGTATTTATACCTTAAAGACGCTGCTGAACATCTGTAGTGTATTTTTTTTTTTTACATAATTTACAAACAGAAAAATTATTTGAATACAAACAAAAGAAGCGTGTGACTTGAATAAAGGTCCTCAATTTTCCAGCGGTCCTCAAAAATGTACACGTCCCTGGTGAAATCCCACGTTTTTCACACCTGAGGTTCAGGCCGTAATAAGTGAGCATTCAGGAATCCCAACAATGTTTAATCAACTTTAAGTAAAACGGAATCGCTGATTCACATTGATGACCAACAGGAAGGCAAACGGTCAGCCAAACAGTACGTCAAGCAAGTGCGGAGCACAAAATGACTGAACTGTTTAACATTTATAAAACAATTAATAAAATGTGCATTTTATAAAGTACAGCTTTACGTATTAAATAAATCTGCACCCTTTGTTTTTGTTTTGCTTACCTCAGACTCGGTGAAAAGTTTAGTCGATTTGGTTCATTCATTAGTGAAGTCACGTCAACCATCTGAGAGCGCTGGGATGTCCTTTTCCTCCTTCTCATAAAACTCCTGAATCTGTTATTGAAGAGACAAAAACAACAAATGTCTTAAGAAATAAATCTTTTCAGTTTTAATGTCACACATGTAATCAGTGACAGTGAATCTGGGGGGAATGAAATAAAGGTTAGCTATTCAAGTTAGTTTTTTTTCCCCCTAGCATTTGCTCATCTTCTCCCTTTAGTTAAAGCAGTAGTTTGAGGTTTTAGAATATCAGAAATAATTTCACTGTATTAAGGGTTCATTCAGAGGACACTTACAAAAAAATCCAAAATTTCTAAACATGTTTTAAAATTTGACGCTTGATACCAATACCAAGAAAAGGCTTAAATGAAATATGAATTATTTCACACATTACTGCGCTGTCGATATGTTCGCATTATGTAGTGCAGCTTTAGTTTTGTGTTTCGGGTGATTTATTCAATATTGCACAGTGCTTGATTGTACAGAGGCATGTTGCCATGGTTTCTGAAAACCGAGTCTACTTCTGGTCGGACTGGGTCTTTAAAGAAAACAGGCAGTTTAATAAATTAATTGTCTCTCAAATGCAGAGAGATGGAGGCTGCAAAGAAACAAACAATATTAAATGAGCTAAAGCAGTTTTTTGTTGTTATTGTTTTTACCTACCGTTTGTGTTCTGTACGCTTCAACCCTACTGAGAAGTTGGGTTGCAGAACAGTGAAAACTTCTCAGCCTCACTAAAGTTTCATGAAACCTTTTAGAAATTGTTGTGATCTGGTTAAAACTAAACAGGACCTTAGTTGTAAAAACTGTGTTCAGAACAGAAACGGAATGACCAAAAACGTGATGGTACCAGCTGAAGACTTTTCAGCCAGCTGACTGGCTGTGCTCAGCAGCATTTGAGAGGATTAGATCTTCTTTCTATCAGGGCTGCAACCAACAACTCTTTTAGCAATCCGTTAACCTATAGACTATTCTGACAATCGGATAAAGAAAATGGCACGTTCTACAGAGTTTTCATTCAACAATTTAAGCAATTTTATGCGATATTAGAAATGTATTAAGTGCAAATAATTTAGTTCTTTTTTAAATTAAGAAAAAACATTTTATTGCCTAAAATGCAACACCATAGCACTTCTTTAGGAAATGTGAACCAGGTGAAGATAAAACTATAGAGGTCTTGACTAAACCACATCTACAAACATTTATGTTTTTGTCTTGAGTACAAAACGTATCTTTTTTTGTACAGTCTTGGCTTTGTTACTGTTCTGAACATTTTTTCAGTAAAAGGCCTTTTGAGTCTGAATACTCCAGCTAATTAATTGATTACTAAATTAGTTGAGGGTTATTTCAATAATTGATAAATCCAGTTTCAGCCCTGCTCCCTATAGAGCTGCAGAAAGCTCATCTCTGACATTTCGGTGAAAGTACGTCAAGCAGTAGGTACAGGATAATGATGGACAATTTGACTGATTTTGAAACTAGCACTGGTACCAGTAACTGACCCACTACCAGTCCTACCAGTCCTAAATATTAGCCGGTCTTTCTGACTTGACAATCAGTTTGTCCTTTTCTTCTCCCTCTGCTCTGTAGATCGCAGCTAAAATCGGTGGAGAGACTGCGCCCCAAGTGACAAACAACGGAGGAGCTGAAAGTTATCCGTTCTCTGCACAGAAACGATCCCTTGAAGAAGGAGGTGGGAAATCAAAATCAAAGGAGCACTTGGTCAACATTCACTAAGAAGGAATGCTCAACTTTTTATTTTCTTTCAGATGAGCCTGATGCTAAGAAGCTAGCATCACAGAGCGAAAGAGATTCAGCAATGTGTACGTTAAAAACACTCTATGGATTTCTGAAAAGCTTTTGCTTTACTTATTCTCCAATTAATTATGTTCTCCACTTTTCCCTCCCTCGCAGCCATTGGAGCTCAGTTAGCTGCTCTCTCCCAACAAAGGTGGGTTTTTTTTTCTTCTGCGTTTGTGTTTTTTTACACGAACACTTCAGCCTTAGCGGTTGTGTTACACTGATTGTTTTCCTTCTCCTGTATCTCCAGTGTCAGGTCCTCCACTATTACAGAAGAGTACAAGGTGCCTGACAGCATGGTTGGCCTCAGTGAGTACAAGAACATATATTTCACTTCAACAACACAGAACAGGGCTTCATGTTGCATTTGTTCAAATTAAATTACATTTTTTTTTTCTTTTGTTTCCCATCAGTCATCGGACGGGGAGGGGAACAGATCAACAAAATACAGCACGACTCTGGCTGCAAGGTCCAGATTGCGCATGGTGAGTTGCGTGAATCACTTTATTTTACGCCACCACTGTACAATAACTGTAACAGGCATTTTGTCTCCTTTGTTTACAGACAGCGTCGGTCTTCCAGAAAGAAGCATTTCCCTGACTGGATCACCAGAGGCAGTACAGTAAGTTTGGAAACCTAATTGTGTTTTTTAATATTTTTTTAAGAATTCAATTGGCTTTTTTTTATATTATTATTGAAAATTATTTAATTTTAGGGCTGGTAAATCCACTATACAAAATGGCCTTCCTGTTACATGTCTTAAATGGGATGAAACGATAACAAATGATGATTTGTATTTATGTGTATCTGCTTCTCCTCCTCAAAAATGTGTTTTTTCCAAAATTTAAATTTTTCTCCCAGGAGGGCCAAGGCTTTTCTAGAGGACATTGTGTCCAGAGGTCACGACTCAAGTAACGGTCAGTCCGGCTCCATGCAAGAGATCATCATCCCTGCAGGAAAGGCTGGCCTAATTATTGGTAAAGGAGGAGAGACGATCAAACAGCTCCAGGTGAGACGTCCGTGCTTTGGTCAAATATTTATAGAATCAAATGCTCTGTAAAGTGTTGTTTTTGTTGGGGGGGGGGGGGGGGGGGGGGTTTAATTTTGGGTGATTATTTTTCTGGGGTGATTTTTTGGG